CTGCTTTCCAAACATGTCAAGAGCTCTGACACACTGCAGCAACAAAATCTATAGTTTAAATGAGACTATTTGCAAGCATGTGATCAGGTTTGGGATGATCCTTCAGTCCCTACGATGTACAATCATTTTACACACTGTTCAAATCAAACCAGTACATACTAAATTTTCCATATACATCATTTGTTTCAGATTTGCAGCCCAAAATAGAGTAAAATGATGTATTTTTTGGCTTTTGGAAGTGCAAAATGACTCATGGGTGGTTGGGGTTTTTTTCACTATTTTTGTGGCTTCCCGCTGGGAACTCACAGTCCTTTTTTCTAGTCATTATGCCCTCTGAAACAGGAGGAAATTTCCACAAGAGCACCTGAACAACCATGTGGCATTACATACTCAGACAACCTGTCAGCTCCTGGGGTGGTTTGGGGGGTCAGTAGCAGCTGGAAGGTGAACTTGGAGGAGAAAAGTACTACAGGACTTTGCCATAACCAGGGAGCTGAACAGCTAGACCTTCGGGGTGACTTTGCAGAAGACAACGTTATCAGGAGCTGCATGGTGGCTAGGCCCTCCTTCCTGCACGAGGCTAATGAGTGTGCTTAGCAGTGTACAGCCTCTGAAAGCCAACAACTCAGTAGCTACTGGAAACCTCAGAGGTGTGTTTGCTTTTGGAAGGGGATTTTGAGGCATTTATTATCTCTGCAACATTGTGCAGCCACCTTGTAGCACTCTTCTTAAATTAGAATCTTTATTTAGATGGTTTTACAAAAATGTGTGATAAATTTCTAGTCTGGCCATGTTTTTTTCTTCATAACTCTTCTGCTGGTTGACTGCTTGGTTTCTTTTTCTCTTTGTACGTTTAAACTTGCAGTTTGAGGAAACATGCAGGCTAGAGAGCTAATAAAACAAGCTTTTCCTGTGGACCACCAAGTGCAGTGAGGCTATTGTTGCAGTGGTACTGATGCACTGACACAAAGACAATGGTAAATAGTATCACTAGCAGAAAGAAAGCTGGAAAATAAAGACTGTATTTTTTTAAAATATCTCACCAGTGCTTCCACAAGAAGGATGTAGACCCCTTCAAATAACGTCCCCTGCAAATGCCAATAGGAGCAAAGAAAATCATCATTCATGATGACATATTGTTTCTACCTAGTAGGCTCCTATCACATTAAGCCAAGGGAAAAATATTTCCATTTCCTCTGCTGTGAAATATGTCTTGCCTCATTTCTTAATTGGTCTAGACTGATCAACTGGCTGGGCTCTTAGACAAAATAAGAAGAGAATTCTTGTTCCAAGTACTCTTGGATGTGGTCTACACTTGCTTGGGCTGGCAGGGCTTGCAGGGCCTGACAGTGCTCTGAGGGAAAGATCACCAGCCAAATGCCCTGATGATGCACAAGGAGTGCCTGGCTTCTGCCAGGGAAGGGTGGAGGGCAGGCTCCAAGCAAAATTGATGCTCAGAAACAGCATACATGTGAGAGAGCTCAGCATGAAGTTGTCTTTACACATAGAGGACAAGGCAAACTGAACTGAGTCCTACTGCTAAAGAGGGTATAAACTGTTCGTCTTTCTGCTCATTTGTTTCCTGGATGTAAGAGGCCTGTCTTGGCTGTAGTTGTGAATTAACATAATTTTGGAAAAAGTCCTAACCCTAATGACAAGGAATCCTTCACTTGCATTTGTCTGCCACAACTGTGACAAACAGAGAACATGTTCTTCATGGCTTTGAGTGTGATGGCTGGCTTTAAGCACTAAAACCCCCACAGATCCTGTGCAGGCAAAGACATGCTGGTAGGAGCAGAAAACCTTATCCAAGGTAGTCATGCTTTGAAATTTTCCTTGAATGGATGTGAGAAAAGGAGGTGAGATTTTAAGTAAAGTCACTTGGCACTATTATTTGGCAAACCACAAGGACCTCAGAGCTGTCTTTCCTCTCTATGTACCAAAGTGAATCTAGATTGTTATCAATGCTGTTAGAATCATAGAATCATAGAATCACAGAATCATTTAGGTTGGAAAAGACCTTCAAGATCATTGAGTCCAACCATCAACCATACCCACTAAACCATGTTCTGGAGTACCCTGTCTACTCGCTTTTTGAATACCTCCAGGGATGGTGACTCAACTACTTCCCTGGGCAGCCTATTTCAATGTCTGACAACCCTCTCAGTAAAGAAATTTTTCCTAATATCTAACCTAAACCTCCCTTGCCGTAACTTGAGCCCATTTCCTCTCATCCTATCTCCAGCCACCTGACAGAAGAGACCTGTTCTCAGTAGGCTGGCTGCAGATAATGAATTTAGATTTTATTACATTATAATACAGTATGTGTAGGAAACAGACTTATGGAGGCATGTCATGGAGCCTGTCCCATGTAGAAGTGCATTAGATGTAATGCCAGTTCTTGGCAAGGCTAAGGATTGAGTTGCTGTGAGTCTTAGTGGCAGACCCTTCTTCCTTCCATGCAACAATAAAACAGGACACTTATTTTAATCCTCTTTACATAATTTCCTCCTGCAGAGAAACCAGTCCAGTGTCCACTGTCTCACACCCATTGCAGTGACTACTTGCAAAGCATCCCAGTGAGTCCAGCAGTACTGTTGTATGCCTTGGCACACCATACTCCCCTGAGCACGGAGTCCTTGTTGCCTCCCCAGGGAGCACAGTACATGAAGTCCCCTCAGCCTGTAACCTTGCCTAGCACCCTGCTCTGTTATGGTAATGGAGCATGCTGGACACACAAGTCCTCAGAAAGAGCAGCTTTGTGCTTTGTTAGTGCATACACCATTGCCAAGACTGTGATGCTGTCTAGCCCTTTCCCTGAGCAAGAAGCAACTGTGCTCCAGTTGCTTTGTCTTGTGCCAGGTGGGGCAGCTGAGGAGGCAGAGTCTGCTCACGCCTGGCCTCCCATCTGAGTGAACAGAGACACATTTGCTTGATTTGCCTTATGGTGTGTCAGCTAATAGAGGTTACTTCTCCTTTGTACCTTGCCTGCTACTCTTTACATCACTGTGGCTATCATGACCCTCCTTTTAAGCAGACATTTTCTTCAGCAGCTGGAGCATCCAGAAACTGCAGTCTGTCCAGCCAGCTATGGAGGCTGAGGGCCTGTGTCCATGCTCACAACCTGCTTGTTGCTGGCATATTCCTGCATTGCTTCCTGATTTAGGGACCCATGGGAGCAGTGTTTAGTGGATTTTCAGGCCAGTTGGTTTAGCCACTGGTTGATGCCGCAGTGACCTTTCTACTACAGGGACTTGACTGCCAAGGGATTTTCTGTCCCTCCCAAGAGGAGACAGGCACCTTTTTGCATCATGCAAGATGATAAACACTTCAGGTGACTCTGGATGGTTTTTAAAAACACCATGAGTGCAGTTTGCAAGATCATGAGCCTGGGACAAGTCATTAATATTCTGGAGCTGATTAACTTCTAGCATCTGTAGTGTGTGTAGAGATGGAGGGAAGCAAAACTTTGTTTCTGGTATGTACGACCATTTAGACTATCTCTTTCCTATTGTGGAGAATCAAAAGGGAAGACTGGAATTAAATTTGTTGTAATGGACATTGACATAATGTAGATAAAGTGCTTAAAGAAATGTTGATTTCCTGAAAGGATGGGTTTCTCCTCCTGACTAACTGGCTCTGAAAATGTACAGTCACAGCCCTAAGGCTAAAAAGTCCCCTTTACCACCCCTAATCTTCAAACTACTACAAGAAAATGCCATCACAAAAAGAAGGGCTGGAGCAAGATCTTTGGAGCTAAGATGCCTCTGCTAAACCTGGAATTGCTTGCTGAAATTTACTTGAAATTAGCTGGAGGATTTCTCTGCTCTTTCATTCATGAGGAGGACTGTGAGCTCCTGCCGTGAATGAGTGACTTTAGTTGAGAGCACTGATCTCCTCTCTCTTCCAGCTCAATGCAGTTGCTAACATTTCAAAACAGAAAGCTGCTTACCCTGCCTGACTGCTGCTGCCTGCCTCCAGGAGCACTGCAACTGGCTGGACCTGCCACCTGTACAGCATGATGCTGGGGGCTATACTTTCAGGGTCCTGCTTACCTCTCCAGAAAGAACACCGGGTGCACTATGGATTTTCAGAAAGATTGTGAGAGCTTTAAAAAGTTTAAATATTTGAGGCCTCTGTCAAATTGGTTTGCAATTGCACAAAATTTTGCACATCTCTCTCCCTGTTCCTTGTTCCCTCCATGACAGTGATGGTTTATTGGCAAGCAGCCCATAATACTGACTATGGAAAGGGTAGGATGAGGAAAGGAACACTACTGTGTTCAGCAGTTTGCTGTATTGACAGGGTGAAGGTGGTCAAATTTGTTCTTCTGGCTTGTTTTTTCCATGTAGATGAAAGAAATTCTCTCTATATATCATGGTTTATCATACAGAATCCTCTTCATGATGAAAAAAGGGATTTGGATTATTATGTTAAAATTTTCCATGGGTCAAATCTCCAATTCTGAAAAAGCATGTTGCAGTCAAGACAATTAGAGGGCTGTGCCTCCAGGTTTTGCTTTTACTTATTTCTAACCTCATCTAAGGGCCGGCCCCTTCAACTGCAGTGCATGGTAAAGACATAATGGGAGAAGAGGCCAATGCCATTATAATGTCTAATGAAAAAGTGTAAGTGAGTGCAGTGATGCTAGCTTTGAATGCTGCACATCCTGCATAGCTCTGAGAAGAATGTATTATTAATAATTTGTAGTAACACGTGGCTTCTAATTTACTGCTTTCTTTTTTCTGTTTAAAACAAATGGAAAAAACTACATAATTAATCTCCTTGCTGCTCATGTTGTATCAGAGATGGCTGTGCTTTTAGGGGGATATTCCTCCAAAGTGTCAAAGCATGTACTCCAGCACTTAGGGAGGATGCTTAGCCAAAGATAGTCTGCTTTCACCTCTGATAGCCTGCTTAAGAGGAAGAATATGGTCCCTACACAAGAGATCAGATTTGTTATGCCGAATGGGTAGAGAACAGAACAGCAAGTAACTTACCACATCAATTATCTGCAGCAAAGAAAGCTGGAGCTCGACTACAAGGGGTTGGGAGTCATTCACTACTGGTCGTTCAAGACGATTGTAGTTTCTCAGCAGTTCTCTGTACAAGCGTCTCTGGCTTTCGCCCTGCTGAGAGACTAGTGAAAAAGAAAGAAGGCATCTGTCATTCGGGCTGGTCACACTGTCCCCATTGTCTGTTTTGCTGAAAAAACCCACTTAATAGGTTTGTAATTTGAAAGCAACTCCCCCCAAAGTTCCCAAAATTCTGCACATGGGTGTGACAGACACAGCTTTTCTGCATACATGACTGATGAGCTCTTAAAAAAAAATTAACCACTACACTCTAACCCATTATTAGCACTCAGAATCTACTGAACAGCCTTTGCGGCTCTGAGTAAATGTCCCCCTTCCTTGGTGCCCCTCCTGCTAATGGCAAGTGGAAATGTGGCTCCAAACCCACCAGACAGCTTCCTGGAAGGCAGTCAGAGCACTTTTATTTCCTTGCTCTTATTTATTTCCTAGAGACTGGCTGCTGTAAGCCAGTGCTGATATTATTTGGACATATAGTGTGTTTACCCAGTATGAGTAACCGGTATTACTTTTTGGACCTGATGTATCAGCCCCTTTTCTGTGCTCAGGAAACAGTAACAAGCCTTGATACCCTCTTCAATTGTGTGGCAGTCTTTCTGGGTTTAGGGTTACTTCCCTTGCCTTTTTTCCTTCTGATGGAAAGGATTGCACACTTTGTTAACACCTAATGAGGTGGTGGTATGAAGACTAGAGTATTTGACAGGTATGTATAATGACATATTGAATTTCTGGTGTTACATTCTTAACTCAGCTGCTACTGGGAACAGCCTCAACACAGAAGCTGTCATGCAAACACATGAGCATGTTAAAGGCTAGCAGAATTTCAGTCTATGCTTAAATTGCAAGATGCCCCGGTTCCCCAGCTTTGGGGTGGGTATGGAGAGCATCCATCTAACCTGTGTGACCAGGTTTCCTTGCCATAACAACCATGCATGGGGCAGGGTAGCAGTGATGGCTTGGGTTTCTTCCCACAGGAAGGTGAGTACTTTGCTAGGACACTGCACAGGTGCTTGGGTCCCCCAAAACAGTAGGTGTTGGTGCTCTGGCCAGTGGCAGCCTGAGCTCTACCTAAAAGCTGCATCTAACAGTGTGAGGGTCACGGGCTGCAGGTTCCCTGAGGCCAAACCAGTCCTGTCAGCATGAGTGCGTATTCCCTGAACTGTAGAAATCCAGTCCCTGGCAGGGTATCTGCACTGTAAATTATTATTACTTTGGACTGAAGCATTTTTTATGCACTGCAGCTCCCAGTCACTGTGTGTGACTTTTTTTAACTCTTGAGTAGAGCTCTGCACATTGACACCAGGACTCCTTTCACAGTGGTTATGATTAATATCTTTTTGACAATGCAAACAAACCATAACAGCAATTTCTGCCTTCCCCAGACTCTTACTGTGCTCAGCAAACCTTGCAAGCCTGGAACAAGCTGCTGTCTAACATAGCAGCCATGCCTTTTAAAGCTAATAATAAATTTAGTTTATGAACAGTTTATAAGTCTGTTTAATTTGTGTTCTCTTCAGTTTTCCTGATACTAAAGGGAGCTTTGTGGCTTTCCGGTATGACAGTGCCTGGTGAACAAGAAGGAAGAGTACGTTTGTTTACTTTGGTAAGTTACACCAACACATCATCTTCATGGGCCCTCTCTGCTCTTGCCTAATACACTACATGCTCATGGTTGAGGATGCTGTAAGCACCGGTTCAATAGCCCTTGCTGACATGTCAATATTGGATGCTATGTTTTCGCCATCAGCAAAGACAAGCTCTGGCCACAGTATCTCTCCTTCACCAGCTTAAGTAATCTTCCCTGCAAGGCAATGATTTAAGAAGTCCTCTGTTATGGCCTTAGTGCTTGTTTTCCAGTGCCTCAGCAGACCCCAATTTCCTTGTAAGATCCTTCTGTAAAAAGGAAACCAGTGAAAATCACTACACATTGTTCTGTGGAAAGAGACTCTGTGTTTTGAGCAAATTTGCTGTCCTTCCACTCACCTGCTCACCCCCGCTTCCACCCTCCTCCATGTTCCTGTGCTTTCGGGAAGATATGACTGCCTGCACTATTGCTGTCATCTTGAGTACTTATGTAATATTTGCCTTTAACCTTCCTTTTAAACTGGCTGCCTCATCTTTTACAAGGGAAAAGTGCCCTTCACCACTCTCTGGAAGTTGGCTGGGCTGCTAGACTGCCCTAGTACCATCACTGTCGTGGTGCATTAAAGCAGCCCCCCCACGAGAGGTCTGAGCATAACCCTTTGCTGTGTGCTTCGGAAAGCTGTCTTTGTACTGTGTGCTCCAAACATGCTAAAGCCAGGCCCCCTTCTCTGTTAAACTTTGTGAGCTGAAGTAGCCCGGTACTGCAATTTTGTGCCTGGTTTTCCATCCATTCTTCAACTCTCCCCTCTGTAATGTAATTGTATTACTTTGCGACCTCTTGTATCCAAAATTGTTAACATAGCCTTAGCTGATCTATTCTTAGCCTGCTGAGTTGGCATTGGTAACCACATATTTGTGTGCTGCATGGTTTTGCTCACAAAATTACATAGATTCAGAAGCAGCGGAGCCTTTGGGGTGTCCTGGCACATAGCTGTGGCAGCTGTTGGTACCACAAAGACCTGGCTAGGCTGGTCACACTGCCATCTCTCTGCTACAGCTGCTCTGGAGAAGGAACCAAGGTGGATGACAAGTCAGACTTGCATTTTCATAGACTTTTTCTTTAAATTGTAATCTTCAAATACTTAATGTTTCATACTCCAGAGAGATTTCTGCTTTTTTCCCTTCTAATGCTTGTGCTAATGCATTGTGACACTAGAACTCTATGTGCTAAATGGAGTGTTAGCTGGTGATGGGGAAGTCTGGATCTCTCAGGAATAGTGGTAGAATAAGTTTTAACACTGCCTATCCCACAGTCACAGAAATCTAACTAAAAGCAGTGGCAATGTTTTGTCTTTTAAACTAGGCTGGAAGCTGGACATCAATATTTTGAGGTTGCCAGGTCAGTCTCCCAAAAGCAATGCCAGACTTACTTGCCTATGCATGTTACAGGAAAGTACTGGCGAAGGGTATGATCCTTTCTAGATAAAGGATCTTTGAGCTATAGAAAGCCTCTTATGTCCCACTGCCTCAGACAGTGTCCCCCTTGTTTCTGGATTATCTTTGAAACAGTAGGAAATTACAATCTCAGTACAGTCTGAGGGCAGAGCAGTGAATGATGTCTGTCTCAAGTTTAGCAAGACTTTTGACACTGTCTCCAAGAACATCCTCATACAGGCTAGATAAATGAACAGTGAGGGGGATTGAAAAGTGGCTGAACCGTTAGGCTCAGAGGGTTGTAGTCAGCAGCACAAAGTCTGGCTGAAGGCCAGCCAGTGCTGGAGTACTCCAGGGGTGGATACTGGGGCCAACGCTGTTCAACACCATTACGAATGATGGAGCAGAGTGCACCCCCAGCAAGTTTTCAGATGGTACAAAACTGGGAGGAGTGGCTGATACAGGACCTGGTTTTGCTTCCATTCAGAGAGAGGGACCTTGAAAAACTGGAGAAATGGCTGACAGGAACCTCATGAAGTTCGATGAAAGGAAGTGCAAAGTCCTGCACCTGAGGAGGAGTAAACCCAGGCACCAGAATAGGCTGGGGGCCCACTGACTGGAGACCAGGTTGGCAGAAGAGCCCTGGGCGTCCTTCTAGATACCACGCTGACCATAAGGTGGCAATGCACCCTTGCAGCAAAGGCCACTAGCATCCTGAGCTGCATCAGACAGTGCCTTACCAGTAGGTCAAGAGTGGTGAGCCTTCCTCTCTACTTCAGCACTGGTGAGACACACTTGGAGTGCTGGGTCCAGTGCTGGGCTTCTCAGTACAAAGGAGACACAGAGTTACTAGAACCAAGGACTAGATTGTCCCTCAAGCTTTACCTTCTGAATAATCTAAAATTGTTCCCTGAACTGCTCCTGGAGTTTGCAGGCAATTGGGAGGCACAAGGCAAACCAATCCTCTGGCAGTTTTGTGAAGAGCTGTGTGGACAACAGAGGTATTTGTGCACTACATTCAACTCTTAAATACCTTTCTCAATCTCCTTCCATGCTTCTGCATGTGCAAAGAAGTCTGCAAGAAACCCACTGATTGATCAACACAACCTACAAACTGCTACCAATCTCTTGGGAATACATGCTATAGCCAAACTTCATCTTTCTTTCTAGGATGGAATGTCTGAGAACTGCACAGCAAGGTAACCTGCCCAGGAGTTATTTCTCTATTGCAGAATGCTACCACCTCCCCTCACAGGAGATACAAGAAAATGTCGGTCCCTCCAAATGCATTGCTGTGAGTCCAGGGAACTTCCCAAGTAGGGTGGTACTGTGTGGTATCCTCTGTGCTGGATCAGGGAGTCCTATGATGTGAAGGAAGAACCTGCAGCAAGAAAACAGAAGATGGCAGGTTCCCTAAGGTCTTATTTCTGAAATGTATCTGAAAAGCTGTCCTTCACCTCCTTTGTTTCCCTGCATCATCCTTGCCTTGAACTATTTCAGCAGGAGATAAAGCAGGATATCTTGCTGTTAGCTTACACTCTGAGCTCTGTCTTTCCTTTCACATGCATAGTCTGCATGTGAGATTTCATCCTGTTTATTAAATGCAGACATGTTGCAATGTCCCAGACAGGTTAGGCCAAGAGACTAGGACTGAAACACGGGATAATTGTATATTAAAAAAAAATTTGCAAAGACCTCCTCAAAGCAAGCCTAGAAGCATGTTAATAACTGCATCCATGTATTTGGACAAAGTGTGGGTTCATAGCTAGAAGCAGAGAGGCACCTCTTTTGAGGCTTGCACAGATGGTGTCTCACCCTGACTGCGAACCTTCATGATATCTATAAAGGGGTTTGAATTCTCTGAGACATTGCAATTAAATTAGATCAAGCTGGTACTTGCTGATGTCAGCTCCAAGTCAGCAGCTGTGCATGCCCAAGCTCAAGCTCAGGCTGAACTCATGTCCTATTGCCAGTGATGGCAAGGAGAACTGTCTCAATTGGTCTGCATGTTTTATGGTGACCTAACACA